CAGCAATTTGCCCCCACAGTCCGGGTTTTCATTTCCCCCACCTTGGCAGGATGGAAAGCTGAGTCGACCTTGAGCCGGTGAGATTTGAACCTCTGAACTGCAGATCATAGTCAGCTAAAGCGGCCTGCAGTGCTGCACCCTAACCACTGCGCCACCTTGGCTCTTAACGGACTTACGGCTGCCTGTACTTAGGATTGAACTCACAGCCTCCTGATTGTTAGAGTTCCACCTCTAGGCCACCGCACCAGTCCTTTGTACCTTAATTGTCACTGCCATTTAATATTTATTAACTACATTTAATTTTTTTTTAAAAGAAATACCCATGAGTCTTCACCAACCGGCATTTCATTTGTCCCCGCGAGCTCCATAAATAGAAAACCTTTTAAAGATTACATTTGCTCTCAACTTTTACTTGAATTGTCCATTAATCAAACTGTTTCTTGACCAGTCGGATGCCAAGTTACACTTTTGGGGGATGGAGGGGGGTGGGAACAAAACTAAACCAAAAAGGTTCTTTTCTTTTTTTAAACAGGTGGATTTCAGAGAAGTGAGGAATTCTGCTGTCTTCATTTTCAACACAGGGGTTTAAATTTAGCTGCTTTTTTTACAACCTGGGAGATGTGCTTTCTCTCCATGAAAAGGAAAAGTAAAATTATACGGCTGGGAAAAAAATTAAGTAAACGCTGATAATTGGACGGCGTCCCTGGGAAACAGAAGGCCTGCGTGGAGGAAGAAACGGTGAGGGAAATAATGATCAAGGTTTTCGTTATGGGCACCGTAGCAATGGAAGATCTAGCCAAGGGCATCATCTAAGAAGGACAGCTTCGTGGTCAACTCTTGGTCCCAAGTTGCCTGGGTAACAACCCACAGAAGGATGGAGAAGAGCTGGCAGGCATTGGAAATTAAATGAAACATAAACCACATTTGAACCGCCGAATAAAGTTATCGACGGCGGAGTCCACAGATCCCCGAAGCGGATGATGAGAGAAGAACCTTGTTCAAAGAAAATGGATCCCCAAGGCTGAGACCTCAATCTAGAATAGAGCTGGAAGGGACCTTGGAGGTCTTCTAGTCCAACCCCCTGCTCAAGCAGGAGACCCTCTACCATTTCAGACAAGTGACTGTCCAGTCTCTTCTTAAAAGCCTCCAGTGATGGAAAAGGAGGGAAGGAAGGAAGGAAGGAAGGAAGGAAGGAAGGAAGGAAGGAAGGAAGGAAGGAAGGAAGCATAACAGAT